CCGCCGACACCAGCACGGCGGTTACGGCTAACAAAGTCGGAATGCAACACCGCATTTTCTTAATTGCGTGTGGTTTTGGTTTTCTTTGCCTAATTAGAGTTTCAATGGACTTGGTGCATTGAAAGTTGAAACCATTTATGGTTAATCAACTCAATTTGTATCAGATATTAATCGTTATCGTAACTCATATCATAAGCCAACACTTCGTGCGTTACTGCTGCAGAAGCAGAATTGCATATATATATAGAGAGAAAATTTTAAACCCCATTTAAATTAATTTGTTTATAAATTTTAACTAGCGGTGTGTGGTAACTGGTAAGTACTACTACCACTGTTTTCTGTACTACACAGAGTGCGGGTGTTTAGATTCTCATTTATGAATCTTAAAACGTGATCAGAGAAATAATTATTATTTTTTTTAATGTATTTTACCGTGAAAAATTATTAAAACATGAATTAAGATGCTTTAGTCATTCAAACTTTTTCAAATAAAAAGAAATTAATGAAGATTCCTTACAATTATTAAAGTTTTTTTTTTTTGCCTAAGTATGATTAATAATGAATATAATAAGTTTGGTGTCACATTAGTAGATTTAGAAAATGAAGGGAGTGTATCACAAAAATAGGTAGAAAGATATTGCTGAAATCCCCACATCCATATGAAAGGAGACACTTTAACGCTTGGTTGTTCTTTATTACTATCGTGTAGTTTCTTACATGCACCGAAAAATTGATATGGATCAAATATCTTATCATATGGTGGATCACATGCAGAATATAACAGTGTACTTGTCAGATTATCTTTTGTGAAGAGATTATGGGACCTTACGCTAACTTCAATTGAAAATTGCAAGGTCTAGTGAGCATACCAAGATCCAAAAAGATGGAAAGAGACATGTGGGAACCGATACAATGATTTTGATTCATTATCAGGGAGTTGAATTTATAATAAATATATAAGGGAGGTGAAGTAACAGGGAAAAAAGAAGGAGAAATTCATAAACGCGGATACTGGAGTAAGTTCAATTCACGTGTTATTTTATTTTGAATCGCATATAAGACTAGCAAATAGCAAGCACACATGAAAAAAGTGGTGATTTGTTTAGGTAGCTCATAAGTTAAACATTAATCACAATCATTGAGTTTCCCTTACATTTCGTAATTTTTTAATATGGGTGGTCATTCTCAAAATGATGGTAGTTTATATACAATGAAGAGAACGAGAAAGGTTCATTTATTCTCACAATAAGTATTAATAGATTTATTTAATTTAATAATTCATTTTTTTATTAAATTTAAATAATTTAATTATTAAATTAAAAATTTTAATATATAAATTAAATTTATAAATTTTAAAAAAATTTAAAACTTATTTGATTCTTCATTTCTTAAAAAAAATACCAAAATTGACTCATAAAATTGAAGGAGTTGGACACAAATGGCTAATGTGTTGAATTTAAGATCAAATCATTTGGATAGTGGTCGAGGTCAATCCTATGAAAAAATAATCTATGGTGAGACTTTACTTATTTCATAGTCAAACTAGATTAATTTAAAGCGAAACTTTAAAATACTGGTGCAAAACATAAAAAAAAATGACTAATAATCATAAAAATAATTTATACGTAATTTGAATTGTATAACAAAGTATCATAATTTTTTTTCAATTTTTAAAAAATTTACAAACTTAATATATGTATTAAAAACTTTTAATTTAACGGTTAGATTGTTAATAATTTATGTTTTACATCGAATTTCAATAATTCAACCATTAAATTAAAAAAATTTAATGCATAGATCAAGTTTACAAAATTTTAAAAAAAATAAAAATTATTTAAATCCTTCATTTCATCAATTCAAATTGGTTTGATAATTGAAATTTGATATAGAACATGAATTATTGAATGAAGTAAGTTTAGATAGACTTACTTTTATTTACTTTACTTCACTCAATAACTTATATTCTAAATTAAATTTCAACAATTCAACTGTTAAATTAAAAGTTTTTGATATATAGATTAAGTTTGCAAATTCTTTTAAAAAATTGAATATTATTTGATACTTAATTTCATAATTCAAATCAATGTATAAAATGTTTTTATGATTATCTGTTAATTTGAATAATGAAATAGAGTATTAAGTAATTTTTAATTTTTTTAAAACATTGTAAACTTGATCTGTGTATTAAGAATTTTTAATTCAACGGTTAGATCGTTCAAATTTGATGTAGAACATGAATTTAATTAAATTATATTTTTAGAAAATAGAAAAATTTTTAAAAATAGATTACCAAAAACAAATAATTATCAGGTCTTGAGAGGATTTAGGTGAAGAAATAAAAAAAAAAGTTATTTAGTTTAAGAAAAACAAAGAGGTATATTTTTTTTTATATTAGACCTTGTTAGGATTTAAAAGTGAGTTTTAATTTTAATAAATTTTACTTGATATAATTATTTGAGAGAGTTTATGAAAATAAGTTAAAATCATAGATCCAATAAGGTATTTTCTAACCCATTGATTTAAGTGTTAAGAAAAATTAAAATGGCTAATAATTTTAAAATTAAAATAATATTTTATAATGTAATGACTCAGCAAATCATTATATTCACCATGGTTCAACAATCACATAACGGAGGCAGAAGCATCAAACATCTATCTAGATTATCATGCAACAAGTAAATTTCATGCACACAGTTATATATAAAGGAAATAAACCATAATTGTTCCTCTACATATATACTACATACAAAAGAAATAATCACTGTATACAAAATAAACTTAGTCCTCAGTCAAGCATCTATATAAGACCTAACTACAATAGAGTAGTAAACAACCAAAAATTGAGTCACCTCTAGCGTAGCTTACCACCAATAACACACCTCAAGTTGTTAGCCCTGTCATGTTCTTATACCAAGTATGATTGAAAATTCTCATATTTACTTACTTTTGATTACAAGTTCTTGAGTAATGTCAACTCTTTCATTTAACTTTGTATCTTCTTTGTCCTCTTTTTATCTAATTTTTGTGCATATATAGTTAACTTGAAAATCATCTAACAATACCCTGATACACCTCCTTTTTTGTGTAGGTATTGAGTAAAAGATATTGGGGTTGAAGATTCCTTGGACTGAGACCTATTGGAGCTAAGATTGAGGAGTTCCTAAGCTAAAAATGCAAATAGTGTCGAGCTTGATTTCCTGCGTCGGGCTTGGCTCGAGGCAAAAAGCATTATTCTTTAGACACACACTAGCGCCCGATGTGTAATTAAATGGTGTCGGGTGTGAGTCCTCTAAACAGCTCATTTTAGGGCAAAATAATGAGGGTTTCAATTCACTCTTGCATGGGATGATCCTGGGAACTGTGGAAGGGATTCCCAATGCTTGGGAGTGTGCCATGCATGGGTATTTCCTTTGAATCTTTCATCTTCTCTTCCACCTCTTGTTTTTCTTTTGCCCTCATGGAATTAAACGGCTAGACCCATTTTTGTGGGGTTAGATGTAACCAACTAAACTCTCTTTCATCTTTCATTTTATTAATGATAAAATGTTTGTTTCATTTATTGTTGTGTTGCATTTCTACTTTTAATGTTTGCTTTGGATTGATCATCCATTGCTTGACATAGGTTCCATTGGATATTGAGAAATATTACTTGAACTAGCTCTAAAATAAAATACTTAATGGAAAATGTATCTAGGAATGGAGTTTGACCCATTAGTAATCTCAAACACTAGTCACCAATGCAGGTTCATGTACTGAATACTTAAGGGATTGATGTTCAATACATGTTCTTAGGCTCTTTCTCTGAGGGATTAAGTTTGAGTATACTCGTTGGTTGACTAAATAATATATGCAACGAGAGGAGCATTAATTACATGAGAGTGAGGTTCAGTGAAATCTAACTCCCGCAAATCCACATTATCATTCATTGTCTTTTCCACACACAAACTATTCGACAAAATTATCCTTAGCATAGTTTATGTTATTTGCTTTTATAGTTAACAAAAATTACAATATGGAATTATTCTTTAATCAATAATAGTCATTAACTACTTATTTTACCTTATCTAATCCAGGTGGATATGATCTTAAATATATTACTTGTACGACCGGTATACTTACCTTGTTTTGAGTTCGTGGTCAAAAACATATTTACATTTAACAATGAAAGAAACTAACCTGAAGTGGAATCTCAACAATGATCGTCATAATTTCAACCATAAGAAAAATAAGGGTAAGCTTGTGAGCAGAAGTCAACATATAATCACAACATTAAAACAACTTAATGACTTACAACTCAACTTGTCAATTTTCAACTTAAAGACAATATCATTCAACCATATCTCCTATCTCACCACATAACATCAATAGTCATTAGAAACATCTTTAAACAACATATACAACATGATAAACTTAACAACTTCATCATATTCATCATACAACATCACATATAACTTTAATCATAACTAAGAAATGTATCTAACTCACATGTCTATAACTTATCAACTTAACAACTTTAGCAGCACGCAACTCGTACAACTTTATCAACTTACAACTTTACAACATATTTATCAACACTCAACATATCATCATTCAAATGTACAAAACAACTTAAAGAAATATACATCTTACAATTTAATTAACTTCGTCAATTATCATCTATAAATAACTTAAAATATGATCATACATCACCGTTCATAACAATTAATCATATTTCAACATTTAATAACTAAGAACATCATATAACTTAAGCAACTTACCTCAATAAGAAACTTACAACAATAGGCAACTTAAGCAATGTGTGCATCTTTATACAACACCATACATTACCATATGCTATAAGAGAATTAACATATATCATTTACAATATGTAATCATCAACTAGCATACAACAACAATTTCCACATAACACAATACAATTGAAGTTTCAATAATCTAATCAAACTCATCTTTATCTCATATGAAAGCTAAAAAAGTTGTTTAAAACTCATGAAGATCTCAAGTTCTAACTTCATCATCTATTATTTTGAAAATTACAAAAATTGCAATAGTTTGCCTAAATGTTGACAACTTGACATTTATTCACTAAAAATGTCATAACTTGAGTTATAGACCTTCTTTTTAGGTGATTCTAAAGTCATTGAAAAGATAACATCTAGGACTATAACTTTTATGAATACAACAAAGTCTAATTTAGAAAGCACTTATCTGCTCGACACAATCTATTCCACTCATAAGATCTTGAATCAAGTAATTTATGTCTTAATTTCACTCAACCCTTTAAAAATTGTTCAGCCTTTTCAAATTCGTCCAACCCTTTCGAATTTGCTCAACGAATTTCTTTCAGAGACACCCCTATTATCATCCCAAATTATGCTCAATCGTTTCAAAATGCTTAGCGAATCCATGAAAGAGACCATCTCCGTTGCTCCTGATTTTGGGGTTTCCAGGCCTCTCTAATCCATCCCAAGCTTACTTACAAGCTTTAAACTCAAATTTAAACTCTCAAAACAATTCTAAATAACATATACAACGTGGAAACCAATTCAAATGCAACTTGCAAGCTCCAATAACAAGAGATCAACAACTTTGGGTTTCGGGTTCACCTTCTCTAGAAACCTCGACTTCACAACTTTAACAATCTTTTTAAAAGCAACAAATCAAGCCACCAATGGACAAATCAACAACACATTCAACATGCAAGAACAAGAGTAAAAACAAGTTCCCCTTACCTCTTAATGATTTATAAATGAAAAGAGAAAAGGGGAAGATAACAAGCTCCATACAACTTTGAGGACAAATCTCAGCTCCACTAGCCTTGATTCCTCGACTAGCCTACTGGTTCAACCACAAGGAGTAAGAAGAGGGAGGAAGGTCTTAGGAGGAAAGGAAAGAAAGTTATAGTTACTCTCTCAAAACTTCTCAAATAGAAAAAACGAAAAGAGTATTCTCTTCTTCTTAAGAAAGCTCCATAAAACCCTTCATTTAAGGTTGAATCAACTTATTAACATCAACTCTCTATTGTACCCCACAACTCAAATCAAAATACCTTAAACATAAATATTACATATAATTTAAAGAAATAAATTAAAATTTAATGTATATATGATATTATAATTGTTATGATGTATTTGAGATTGTTAAATTTTATTGAAGTTATTTTAAAATTATATATGAGAGGATTTCTAATATGCTAATAGTGAAAAAATATTTATCAAACTTTTATTTGTAAATAATATAGTAATAATATATATATACAAACAATAATAATAATAATTAAATCAAACACATTTTTAATATTTTGATTTTCTAAAATAAAAAATGAAACTTTTCTAAAAATGAAAACACAATAAAAATAGAAAACCTTTTCTAACCAAAACAGACCTTTATAATAATAATAATAATATAAAAAAATAAAAATAAAAAATCAAACAGACCTTACTTACACACAAGGAAAGCCATCTGTATGGAAAAAAACGCTACCACGTACGTAATTGGTATTGGCTAAGCGAGCCATATTTAAATTTAAAAAGATAAAACTGAAAAACATACTGTAATATTTTTTTTTTTTTTACTTAGCCATATTTAAATTGAAAACGATAAAACTGAAAATCATACTGTAATATTTTTTTTTGTTGAACTTCAGTGAATTTAATTAAATTTATTTGATTTTTTTTACCGAAAATTCCATGTATTTAATAAATTAATAAATACAAACATCCAAGAAAAAAATACAATCAAACAAATTTACACAATAATTTTTATTTTTTAACAAAATAAATTATTAATTTAATCTTTCAAGTATCACTATCTTTTATTTAATTTCTAAAATAATAAATTGTAAAAATAATTTTTAAATATTGAATGTTCATATAAATATATATTTCTTTCTGAATTGATATATTTATGGTGATTAATTTGATGGTAAATAGAAATAGTTGGATTAAAATAAATAAATTTGAAGGTGAAATTGAAGGAAGGTTTGGGAAGCAGAAACCGGAGGAGGTAGTTAGAGAGAGAGGAGCATGGCGACGTCAACATGTATTCGCCTTGGGAGATGTATGAGTATCGATTCGCGCTCTCTCTTCGTTTCCACCGCCAGATTCTCTTCTTCTTCGTCGTCGTCGTCGTCGTCGTCGTCGTCGTCGTCTTCGTCGTCGTCGTCTTCATCTTCCGGCAAGCCTAAGGCGGGGAAGAAGCTCATCGATCGTCTCTCGGCCGTTGTCGACGCCTTCCACGAACGCAAACTGCCTCCTGAGCTACGCGGCCAGCGCAACAATGTCAGGTAATAATAACACACGCACATGTATAATTCCAATCACGTCAATTGTGCGTGTGCATTTGTGAGAGAGATTTTTCTGTTCAATCGGTCCTGCATCTTGTACGGTGGAACACGCACCACCAACAACCTTTCTTGGTGGATCAACATCCATCGAAACCATTCAGCTTTATCTTAATTGGATATCTATCTCTCTATGCACTTACGTTTAAAATCAGCGTCAGCAGCTTCTGTGACTTGATACAAATAGTTTAGGATTCTGTCCGAAATTGCGATCTTTTGTGATATTAGTTGGATATGACTATTAAAATTTTATTTTAGTTTAGATACATATTCAAGGAAATTTCAAGGAAATTTCTTAGTATCATAGCTGAAATTTCTCTTGTGACATCTCTACTGATTCTCAATTTGACAAGTATAGTTCAAGATCAAATTTCACATTATTGAGTTTCAACTAACTAATAAATAGATAGTATTATTTAATTTGAAGATATCAATATGTTATTGGTTCTATGTCCAATAGTTTTATCTCCTATCTATCATTTTACTTATTAAAAAGAATGACGATGAGTATGAAATCAATAGATTCGGCTCTTTTAGTGGTTAAAATTACGATTCAATGTGTACTTCAATGGTTTTCTAATTGACCAAGGGTGTGTTTGATTTCTTTTTGCAATAACTACTTTTAGTTTTCAAAACGTAACTAAACAAGTTGATTACGAGTAGTATGAAATTGTTTTAGAAAAAAGTAAAGCGAGAAAGAATCAAATAGGTCGTAGCTCTTAATTTTTCTATTGCAAGGTGGATTGCTTATAGAGGAGTGCTAACAACACTAAAACAACTTCTTAATGATTGAAATTCATTGAAAACTTTAAAATTTTGGCAGAAGTTCATTAAATAAGATGCGAGACTTATTAAATTTTGTGGTTTTTAATAAATTTTGATGAATAACAGAGAATGTATTAAAAAAAATGCATGTTATTTATGTTTTTATATTAGTTTTAGATGAGCTAAATCCAAAATGATAGACATAAAATATAAAATAAGAAGTAAAAGTTTCATATTTTTCATATGATGTAGCAAATGAATTTGAAAGTTGAAACTACGCAAACTCTAGCCCCAGAGCTGTGCCCTATTGGCAGATTATAAATGCTACCAACATACTTTCTAACAATTATCTTCTGACACATTTTCTCCTATTAGGTGCAATTTGCATAGGTCTGACTAAATATAGGAGCAGTCACAAAAGTGACTGCATGTAATCCTAACCACAAAATAATTATTATACATTAAATAATTGAAGGAGATACAACTTAAAAAATTGAGCCATTGGATCATGACTGCAGGGCGCTATAGTTACCTTTTAACTGCAGGGTAACTGGGTCCTTAAATATGCGAGTCTCATCTCCAAAACTAGAACACATGTGAATTTCAGCCAATAAAAAAGTATTGGAAAGAGTTTTAGAAAGTGTTACTAAAATTCCAGAGAGTCACAGACAGTATATGTATCATTGGTTTTAACATCTCCTAATGGGTTAGTTAAGTTTCCCTCAGGACAAGGCACTGGTGCACTAGTGTAGTGGCATGATTGATGGTACAGTGGAATTGGCTTGAATCCAATATTTTGGGTGGCTTTGTGTTGCCTTTCTCCTCATTTGGTGTTTAACACAAATTGGCTGTTAGACAGGTCTGAAACTGACATGATCAACGTTGTTGAGCAAAGAATATGGCATTCCATGGAAGAGGGTCAGTTTGAGAACTTGCCAGGGAAAGGCAAGCCGCTTAAGCTTGACACAAATCCTCATGCAGATCCAGCTGAAGACACCCTTTACCGAATCCTGTCAAAAAATGGATGTGCACCAGAGTGGGTTGAGCTTAACAAAGAGATTAGATCTAAAATATCTGAATGGAGGATGTCCTTGAAGAAAGCTTGGGCTACTAAAGGCAGTGGAGATCACTCTGAGTGGGTTGAACGTTCAGAGGCTCTGAAATTGCAGCTACGAGAAATCAATGATAAGGTGAACTATGTCGTGTTAATATTTCCTAGGAATTGGAAAATTGAATTCCTTGTCTTTTTGAATCTTTAATTCCTTTGTCATATTTGTAATGCTAATGTGATGATTATCTTTTTGTTTGGCAGGTTTTCCGGTATAACCTCATTGTGCCTTTTGGTCGGCAAATGTTTAGCCTTAAGTGGGAGAAAGAGCTAGGTTACTTAGAAGAAAAGTGAGACTAGTTCTTATTTAAATTTCAGCCAGTTGGTTCTCTATAGAAGAAGATCAAATTTTTTCATTTTTCTGAGGGAGGTCATGCCAGGTGATTAATCAACTTGCATAAGTTATTCGGTTCAACTATTGTTGATTACTTTAATTTCCTAGCAACGGCTTGACTCAGGCCAGTGCGTCATTGTTACTGGTTTCGATGCCTCTTTAAGGCTTAGTCTGACACTATGGTTTATAAACTCTTATCAATGTTTCTACTTCCTGCGTTTTATAGGTTGTTAGTTAGTTGTATTAATTTAGATGAATTAGTTGATTGATTAGTTTGATGATTGTAAGTTAGTCGTTTAATAGGCTTTATAAATAGAGCATGTATCTCACTCATTTGTATCTTTTTCATTTCAAATTAATACTGAGTTATTTCTATTAAAGATTTCTTATGTTCTTTGAACTATATGATTTTTGGCCTTATCAAGTTAAGGTCAAATGTGTCTCTCAAAATTCTGAGAACAAGGAAACAAGAAAAAGTGGTGAAAATGTATGAGACTCAACAATACTATTTGTCCTGAAAAGTGTATTATACAGCCTTCGCTTTGCAGAAGGCAATTGTAGTTTTCTCTTCAGTATACAGGATTACGTTGTAACTACCAGATGATTGAATTGGAATGAGCGAGGGCTTTCCCAATGCCAGTGCGATATTGTTTATTTGCCATTTATCTCCTGACCTTGATGATAAAACTTGATTACTGCCTGATGATATATATAGACTTCAATATAAAGTAAAAAAAATGCAATTTGACCATTTTTTCAGAGAGATTAAATGCAAGTTAATTTGATGGAGTATTTAATAGTGATATTTTTTTTTTCAAAAAATTTGCACTTTGACAAATTTTTTAATACTGTCCCTTGCAAAGGTATGCTTGATCAACTTCAACCAAAGATGGGGTGGGGGGGGGGGGGGGGGGGAGGAGGTCAATGCACTTTACACATGTTCAAACACAAAAGGTGGGATCCTATGATAGCCATGATATTACAAGTTACAGCACGTAGTCTTAGAAAAATCTTATTAATGAAAGTAACACACAAGCTGAATAAGGGATGCTATTGCCGGTTACTCTTTTTCAGATGGTCTGAAACTACTTAAAAATGAAAATACATGTATTGACAGATGACTACTAATATTAACAAGAATGAAGAAAAAATCAATTACAGGCTATACAAACAAGAAGATACATTCTTAATTTTCGTATTCCTTTTGTGATGCTCATATATTTGATGTTTTAGCTGCAAGATGTATGAGACTTTTCCTGTGGTAAGCAGTACGTAGCCTGTTCTAAAACCGGAATGGCCCATTCTGGAGTTGAATTTAACACACAATGACCACTTTGAAACGGCCCGTTCTAGTCCAAGATTCATAGGCCTATTTAGTAGTTTGGAACGGCCTGTTCCAGTTTGGGAACGACCTGTTCTGGGCTACTAAATCACCCTTGTTTTAGTAGTTTGGAACGACTTATTCCAATCTGGGAACGCCTTGTTCCAGTCTACTAACTACGTTACATTGTGAGTGTTGTCGCTATCAATTAATACCTAGAATTGTTTAGAACCATAAGAGCCAAAAACTTGTAATGATTAACCTTGAAGTTGACATGAAAGAGCATTAAGGGTGAATATATCACTTGAAATCTTCTTCATTACTAAGTTAGAATCCTTCACTTGCTCGATGATTGTCTCATCCTTATCATTAAAACCAAGAAGCAATAGGTATTTGCTTTGATAACGATCATTTGGGCCAAATTTTTCATCACAATTGTAACATATGTCACATTCATGCTTGTTAAGCAACTTTGTTAGCATAAGTTGACAAGTTGGTAAGTCTAGGGAAGGTAAGAGTGGTGGAAATTTTGACGGAGAAATTGTTTGAGAAGTGGGCTTGGTTGCTTAGGCTCAAGAAACACCCATTGGGCAGGTAGAGTTTTGAAGTTGGGTTGGGCTCATTACTTGGCCAGAGCCTAAAGATGAAAACCCTAAGAGTTTAATTTTATTACAACATAAGCTTCTTCAACGTGAGCTTAATAAGCACTAGCCAAGGCAAAAATCCCCATTAATGTAGCTAGACGATTGGGTTGCAACTCACAACAAATGTTTGTCCAAAGATCGGTAATGAAAAAACTAATGAGAGGGGGATTTGAGATACCCATAACCTTGTTCAACAATTCTTGAAACTGAGCTTGGAATACTTAGTGCCTTCTCCACCAATAATAATTGGTTTATTTTACTTGGTTTATTTTCCACAATAATTCAAGAAGAAATAGGAGAAGCACTCACAATATTGGTTAAAAAAGTAGAGCTCAGAACATTTTTATTCATACATGTAAGAAGATGAAAAGCATTTGACCCATCAAATGCTGGGATTTTCATCACAGCTCTCAAAAATCAAAATGCACCAGCCGGGAATCGAACCCGGGTCTGTACCGTGGCAGGGTACTATTCTACCACTAGACCACTGGTGCTTAGATAATATTAGTATCTTACTTTTTAGTAATTTTCAACTCGGAGATCTCCAACAACTGAGGTTGAGTAGTCTAGGTGGCATAAACCCTACCGAATCTAGCGT